AGGTCAAAAAAAATAGTGTGATTATAACAAGGTTGTGACTATATTGAGAGTGACTATAACGAGGTCTGACTGTATTATTAAAATAGTATATGAAAATTTAACATTAAATTCTGAAGGCCAAGCAATAATATATTCATCAACTCCAAATGAATATATAAAAATTTTTAATGGTCTTAAAGAGTATATAGAACTTCATCAACTTGGTATATATCATGGAAAAATGTATGATACAGATCAAAAAACAACTTTGAATTTATGGAATAATCAAAAAATAAAATACATAGTTGCTACAAACGCTTTTGGTATGGGAGTTCATGCACTTCATGTTCGAACAATTATTCATACTACTTTTCCATTATCTCCAACAAACTTTGTGCAAGAGGTAGGACGAGCTGGCAGAGATGGACAATCAGCTGAAAGTTTAGTATTATATGCATGTGCAGATATTCGTGAACTACTAATGATTGTTGGTGGGAAAGTAGAAAGGTAGGTAAAAATAATAAAAGACAAAATAGAAAGTAATATGAATTTGACTAATTAAACTTATGAATTAGATGATTAGATTATACCTAACAGGCCAATTCATAAGTCAAATTAGTCCAATTACACTTATCAGTAAAATTCAAAACTATTATTTGTTCATGTTCAAATTTCCAGCTTTGATTCATATTGAAAATTTTATTAACAATATTTATTTAAATAAATTTTATTTATTCTTATAGTTAAACTATACAAATTAATTTTTGAAATTTCATAGCACAAACTATAGTCCCCAACCTTTTTTTCTAATTTCGCTAATAAAAAAATGTACCCACTTACTAGAAAATAAAAAATTTCAAACTATTTCAAAGATCAATTCCACATTACTTTCTATCTTTGTTATAATATTCTATTAGATAATAAAATTATAATTAGCGTATTACTAATACTATACTTTTAGTGCTGATGAATCTGATCAGATACTAAGCCTGACTCTCTAGAAATGCTAGCTGTTCGACGTCGTCGTGAGCATTTAGACAGATCAAAAAAAAAAATATTCGCAATGGCTTATACCTTTGAAGAGTCATATCAATGTCGTTAGAAAATGGCATATGAACCATTTAGATGACCAGAAGATCCCGAAATTTCTGAGTGTGGTGCTTGTGATAACTGCATAAGACATATTACAGATAATATTATTTGGTGTGATATTAGTATAGATTTGCTTCGAATTCTAGATACTGTGGATAAACTTTTGAGATTTACAAATGATCTGGAAACACAGTTAGTGACTTTTGGTCGTAATGATATCGTAGATGTCTTTATAAAAGCTAATAACAAAAACACACGTGAAAAAAATTTAACTTCCCTTTGGACAAATGAAAGTGATGATATGAATAATGATACTGTAAATATACTTATTCAGACTAAAAGCATGTGTCTACATGCGATTGATAGGCTTTGCTTAGAAGGAATATTGGCGCAAAAAGTAATAATTAAACCAATGTGGCCAGGATCTTTAGCATTAGTATATACGTCTAATATTTCAGAGATCGCCCCAAACGCAAGGCAAAAAATAGGTAAAAAGTTGTGGTTAGAAGCTTTCAAGCCAAGTAAAAAAAGAACTGACATAAAACAGTAAAATGCAAAAAATAAAATTACTACGTACGTACGTATATAGCGATAGTGCAATTATTTGACTAATTTTAATTGGCTGTCTGTTATATATTGTTCTATTTTTATCTGATTGTACAAATGATCGTCAACTTGCAGCTATACCGCAATTGTACTATTTAGTAAATCACACAAAATACCCTAGCCTTAACTAAATCAATATTTAATAATGCATTTTATTTTCTTTTTGAGATAATAATATAAACTATCAAATCAACTTAAATTTGATTTGTTACTATAATTTTTAATACAGTCAGACCTTTATATAATTACCAAATTGAATGCATTCTAATGTAGTAATTATATAGAGGTGTGATTATAAACAAATATTAGATTAATATCATATGATTTTTAGCCAATCAATGATTTATTAGTCATATAGTAATTGTTTTATATCTAAAAGTTTAACCACCTTTGATTCTCTAATCAAAATCAGCTAAAATATCTTCGAAAAATAGGTTTCTTACTATATATAAACAATAATATAGAATTTTATATAGTTTGAAAATATTTTTCAAAGATATTCCATAATATATTAAGCCAATTTTGATAATTTAATCACTATTAAATTCATATTAATGAGCTTTACAACTTTACTTAAAGACTCAAAAGTGTTTAACTTAGTAGAAAAAAATTTTTAAATGTAGATATTTCATATTTAAAAAATTCTAATTTTTATATAATCTTCTTGAATTGATTGATAAATTATCAATTAATAAATTAGTAATTATATAGAGGTTTTTTATTAATAAATTTAATTTAAAATTTTAATTTTAAAGTGATAGTGATTATAAGTAATTTGTAACTATAATGAAATTTTTATTATGTTTAAGTCTGTTATACAATATTAGATGCTTATATAAAGATGTAATTATATAAGGTGTGATTATAGGGTATGGCGACTTAGTGAAGTTGATAAGTTGTTACACTCCCAAGTGGCAGGGCAAGAGTTCAAATCCTACTGGTGACAAAAATTCGAATTTACAGAATATGTTAAAGTAAACTGTAACAGCAGACTGTATATAAATGGATAGATCAGTATCTGTAACTTTGGTCACACCAGCTTGTACTAAGAGGCTGTGAAACAGTATGATGCATAAATTATATGAAACCTAAGTAAAATAGCTATATAAATCTAAGAGTTGGTGCATACAAAAGCCTGCTTGGCAAGATCTGAGTAGAGAAGTAGTACAGATCTTTGATGATATTACATAAAGGATTATTATTTAGAGAACCAAAGAAACTGAACAGAACTGAAGTGTTTGGTAGCACTCCACCAACCAGGCTGCTAGATGAGTAACTGGAGAAAAAGAACCTAACTGTAGGAATCAGAGACAGGTTACCGCCCTTTCAGGCTATCTGAATTAGAAGTTTAAAAAAATTAGTATATGATAAATAGTCTATATAGTGTGTGCTGATGTTTGAGTGAACTTTACAAGAGCAGAAGTAGGTAACAGTGCAGCTTCAACTTACAAGTACTTGTTCTCAGACTCGGTATAAGTTACTAAAAGTCTAGATTAGCTGGATTGTAGGTATAGAAAGCTTTAGCAATAATGTCTTGAAGATAAATTAGTCCTAAGGGTATGAGACAAATATCTGGGACTTTTTGACTGACAAATATAGTGGAGATGTATTAGTGATACAGATATAGTTGCATTATAGAGTGTTTAATTAGGTAACTCAAATAATAGTGGGTTATAGGTATAGCATCTAGTATAGAACCTAGTAAGTTCTCTTGAGGCTATAGCCATGAGCTCCTTACTTAACAATACTTGAATAAAACCTAGTTCCAAAGTGGCTTAGTTTAAAAAATAAGGTGTAATTATAAAGAGGTTTGACTGTATAGTCTAATATAAATAATAAGTTGATTATTTGAAAAATCAGCTGACTAAGATTATTTTTAAGCACCTACCTTAATATGTTAACTAAACGATTTAATTGGCCAAAAAAATTAATTGTGATCATTATTTTGATCAAAAAAATCTGAAGCTGTGACTACCAATTTTTTATATAAAGCTATACTAATTAGTTAAAATTTATCATTACTAAAGTAATCAAAGAAATTGCTCAAACTCAAATATATTATCATTTTATTATTATTTTTTTTTTTATATAATATGGATCTCAACAAGACATTATTGCTATCTAAAATTATTCTACTCTTATAACAAATAAAAGACATTTAATATTCAAAGTATAAAAAATTATATTTTTTTATATGTTATATATATTTTATTAAAAATGTTTATGCTATATTTTAATATCACTTTGTTTAATATTAATGAATCTATATAAAGTTGTATTATTAAATATAATTGTTACTGGCCTCACCTTTAAAGATTAAAAAACAATATATATATATAATTATTTCTATAATAACTTATAATCAAATATGGCTACTGTTGCAATGATAAGTTATTTGTAAAATTATTAAAAAATAGCTGAAGACAAATTTCAAATACCAAAGTCTTTTTTTTTTTTTTTTTACCTTTGCCATAACCCAGAAGGGTGGGTTTTTATTAGGTAT